AGCTGCTTATTACCCTGAAAGAAACAACATCATGAAAAAAAACCATCATGCAATAAAAAAATAGCAGAGCGATTAAAATATCCATACTGAAGGCAGTATATTAATGCAACGTTGCTGTCAACAAAGAAGGCGTATGATCGATAGACAAAATATATAGTTATCTAAATGATAGCAAGGGATTAAGTAAAAGAAATCTTCTAGCAGAAAATGACGCAACCAAAAAATTTAAAACTAATGATAATGTTTTGATTGAAACCACCAAATACAGAAAGCCATACCGAGTGGAAGCAATCAAAAGTAGCCAAAGATGTTTCAAAACGAATTGTAGAAGTGAATAAGCGTCACGTGAAACACATAGAACCTCGATCCTCGATATGAAACTCAATCATTATGTGGGTAACATTTGCGAAGATTTTTTTGAAAACAATTAAGAACAAAACAAAGGTGTTTCCAAAGCAAGCAAAGTCCTTATCGAAACCAAGAATCTTCAAGAAATAGACGTGCTTTTTAAATAAAGTGCTCGAGAGCAAAGCATGCCTTATTTCGATTACTTTACTGCCTCATCACGAATAAGAGAGAACTTCAAGTTGCAAAAAAGACGAGAAACATTTTCTTGCTTTTATAATTTTTAAAATCTAATAGTTGACCAAATGAAGATGAAATTAATGTATCTAGTCTAAAGGAGAAATGCAAATCTTTGAAGTAAATCTACGTAAACGAAGTGGAGAAATAAAAACTAAAAGGATCCCTCATCAGAATACTTGGTAGCGCACCAATCTTTATGGTAAAAAAGAATCTCTCACTTTAATGAAGCTATTAATCTAATTCTAATCAAGATAGCGCTAAAATCTACAATGAACCTCGACCAACTTGCCAATCTTCTGCTATTTTCATAAGCATGATCTTGCAAAAAATTTGTGTAAGACTAATTCATTTCAAATTTTGCTATGACATTGTTGTAGCAAAATTAAATTATATTTTTTTCTAAAGCAAACTGTACAATTGCGTTTTTAAACTTTAATTTCTCGCAATATTCTAATGTTTGATATTTCGAGCGAAAGAGCAATATAAAAAAAATTTTATACCTAAAAATAGATACATACCTATAAATATAAAATAGATATACATTTATAACCAAGTGGGCACCGGACCAAAAAAAGACGTCTTTTGAACGTTCAAAAGACGTCCAAAATGTTCAAAAGACGTTCAAAAGACGTCTAGAACGTGTATAAGACGTTTAAAAGACGTCTTTTTTACGTCCGTGCCCACTGGGAAATATACTTATAAATAAAAGATAATTAGTGCGAGAGTCCTTTCAATATTCTTATCAGTAGTGCTATGTTAAATGCTTTTATCAAAACTTTCATTAGCAACAACTTTATATGCAAAAAAGTAAGAGAATACAAATATTTAATTTTTGTGTTAATATGAGTTACCTTTGTAATATTTTTAAAGGAAGTATAAATTAAAAGTGTCGTCTTTTTGTTTGTGTAAATTTACTTTCATGGAATAACAAACTTTTTTTATTTTTTAATTAAACAAAAACAAAGTGAAAAATCCCACAGTTTTATTACTTAATCTCTGGCAATTATATGCATGGTTATCAAATCGGCCTGTTGATTTGCTTATTCTGCAACCAGAAGTATGTTCATTTAAACGGTTTCTTAAATTGTTACATTATGTATTGGTTTTTATTTAATATTCAACTTCAACTAAAGATGACTAGTGTTAGACTAGAGACAGCAATAATGCCATTAAATGTTATAGAAAATTATTATCAGAAAACAAAAGGCCAAAAGGAAAAAAAAAAGTAATATGAGTCATCAACTCGAAAAGAGGTTTGTCAATCCTTAAAAAGTATAGCCACAGTTTTTTCAAAAAGTAATAATTTATTTGTTATTTTACAACAAAAAGATAATAATAATTTTTGCAGACATTTATTCCATAGTATATTTTTCCAGATCTCCATTACAAAAAAAAAAAAGAGCTAAATTTGAAAGCAAAGTATTGGTATGGCGTTTACTTAGTTCCAACGGTATGACTTGACTAGTAATCATGACCAGTAATGAAGCAATCTTTGGCTGTTGAGATAACAAAAATACGCTAAAAAATAATTGCAATTGATAACATTATGATTCAGTTCATACGTACTCAATTGGCAACTTATAATGACAATTAAGTTATTTGGTCCGACCTATCAAATCGTTAATTTGATGGGGTTTGGGTGCTAGAAAAGTAGCTATACGTGAGATAAGAGGGAAATAAAACTTATTAAATAACTATTAAGTTTTTAAATGACAAAATGTTTTAATCAAGATAAAAAAAATTAGTAATATGTTTATCTAAATCATAAATAATTAATCCCTTTATACATATAATTTAATTTATAAATAATTTATCCCTTTATAAATAATTAATCCCTTTATACTTTTATACAACTTTTTAAAATATTGTTAATTATCTATTACATGTTTAGTACTGCGATGGCATAAAATTAGTTTGATGTTTCTCCCAGCAAACATTCAGTGGAGTTTCAGTAAACCCATATAAACCGCTCAAAATGTCTTAAGCGGTCCACTGTAGTTTTTCTCATCGGTTATTTAGTAGATAATTAGTGGCAGACGTAAAAAACGGCTAGCCGATGACTAGCTACTATATTGAAAAGTTATCGGCTGGCATCTTATAGCGGATGCGACTGATTGTCCATTACGCAATCGATAAGAAAAACTGCAATGAACCGCGCAAAATCCTTGATAGGTCCACTGCAAATCTACTGGAAAAATGTTTGGTAGGTATATATAGATATATACCTATGTAAACACACACTAAATTTCTGTATGAAGATAAGTGATGCTTATTTTAAACAATAATAGGCGTATTAGTTTCATTTGCTTTTAAAAAATTACATGCATATATAAGTAAAAATATTTTTCTTTAAAAGTCTATTCCCCTGGTTTCCGTATGAACGTTTTTAATCAAGTTTTTTTTTCAAAAAATTTTTATTTTTTATTTTTCAGTTTTTAACTTCGTTTTTATAACTAAAACCGATTACTTTGATAAATATATTTTGTTGTAATTTCATAGTGTCTAGTTTATATAAACACTAACACATGTTACTATTTAAACATTTGTACATAAGCCATTATGTGCAAACTTTTAAATTCGAATTTCAATTGTATTTTGTGGAGTATCATTTTTATTTGTGGAGTATCATTTTTATTTTTATTTTTATCATTTTTATTTTATACCCTAAAATCTGGCACAATTAAATTCTTTTTTTTTTATAATTAAATGTTTATTTTTTAAACTATTATTTTTATCACGACAAAACTAATTAACCACCAAAAAATAAATTCAAAATCAATTTATATTTATGAGTGGTTATCAAAAATGCAATTCAAAATTTATAAACATATAAACTGTTAGTAAAAATGAGAATTAGTACTTATGCTTAGTGCTTCTATGTATATAACTGTTTTTATTTACTTTTCGTGTAATATTTTAAGTATCATATAATACAGTTCTATTTTAAAAACTCTATCGTTTAAGGTTTTTTAGTAAAAGAAGACTGAGAAAAATATAAAAAGCTTAAAACTCAAGTTACAAAAATTAAAAATATATTTTGCAATGAGCATTTGATGTTTTATATGTACGTTACCGTTAACAATTACTTTGAAATGCTATCTGACGCTAGACTTGCTGTTTTTTAAAATTATCTTTAAAAGTTCTACCTTAGTCTTATTTTAGCTAAATTACCTTTTGATTATTTTTTTTTTCCACTTTTTAATTGCTTACAATGCTAAGAACATTGACTTTTGATCAAATTGACTCTCTAAAATTGTCAAGTGATTCAACGGAAATCGCACATTAAAAACATTAAAATAATTAATGATAAAAAAAAAACACGAACTTCAGCATGGCAGAATTTATATGAATGTTTTTATTACTGAAAATTTTTTTTGATAGTTACTTTTGTAGTAATTTTTTAGATTTTATTTTAATCTAACTCATTGCCCGTGGCCATTAGCTTTTTAGAAGGCGATTTAGCCTACCCTCAAAAGCCTAAATATTTATCTACTTAAAGTACATAATTTGCAGTTTTTAAATATAATCGGTCAAATAAACACTGACTATAATTTATTGCTTATATGTTTTTAATTGTTATACAATTTTGTGTTATAACATTTGCTCTGGTAAGTGTTGATAAGAAAATGAACAATTCATATTGTTAATGACAAATTTCGCATTTTATGTTGCCAAAGTTTAAAACGCGTTAAAAAAATTTTTTTTACGGCAATTATGTCAGTTTGGTTAACTATTTAGTAGTAAATCGGTAATGAGCGTTTAATTTTTTGAAAGTATTTTTTTTATTTGTGTTATTCAATCTTTTTTCAAAATTATTAGTTATAAAACTGACTCAGATGCCAGGCTGAGTTTTCTTTTAACATTCTTAAAAGTACAGTAGTTTTTAATTTATAAAAGTATTAACAGCAATTTATAAAAGTATTAAATATGTAAGTTACATTATGTAACCAATAAAACTATATTTATAATATTTAATATATTTACTATATATATCACTATGCAACTGATATTAAATATAAGTAAATAATTTAGGTAGTAAACATGAATACAGATGTTATAGTAAATTTTTTAAATAATTTATAAAAGTGTTAATATGTAAGTTACATAATGCAACTATAATTATAATATTTAATATATTTACTTATAGACCAGGTGCAGGTATTTTTAGATGTTAAGTATAAGTAAATAATTTAGATAGTAAACGTGAATACAGATGTTACATCACTGTTACAATGTTATGTATTCACGTTTAATCTGAATATATATATATATATATTATATATATATATATATATATATATATATATATATATATCTTATTATACATGCATAAACTAAATATATTAAAAAAATAAAATATAAATCATATATTACTTAATTAAGTGCATATCCTATATCAGATATCAGATTAAGACGGATATTAATAAAGATAATACAGCTTAAAATCAACGCCGAGTCGCTATAAACCGCATCATAAATAAATATTCGGTAAACAAAATCTAGCGGAATGCTTAATTTTCGTATGTTTTCATGTCAAAAAACATAAGGATTTAGATAATTATGACTGCAATGTCAGTATTACCTGAAGAGGAATCCGAGTTTCAAGAGCCTCTTAAAAGACAACCCTGGTGGAAAAAGAGTCCCACACCAGAAAGATCAAGTCCTGAAAGTAAAAATAAACTTGAAGAGATTACGAAAGACCCGCAAAAGGTATTTTATAAACTATTTTTTAAACTTACTGATATAGATAAATTATTTATATTGAAGTTATATGTTTTAAATACGTTATTTATTTACAAATAATTAACGCATTTTATACATTTGTGTGAAGTACTACTTTAAACTCTAAGCTCTTTATTCTTTATTCGGTTTACTCTTTATTAGGCTTATTCGTAAATTTTGTTACTTATTTCTCTTTTTATCAAGTTCGAAAAAGAAAGCCTCTTATTTGCTAATCAGTACTAATTGTAATTTTTTGATATATAAATTATTAAAAAAGTTTTTTATTTCTTAACTTATTATTATATTAAAACTGGCATAGATATTAATTTAGTATTATTATTTCAATAAAAGATTTGCAAAGATATTTTTTTGTATACTTTAACTGTTCATAGTATTGTAAAAAGAAGTTATGATTTTAAATTCTGCACCTATTTCAGAAAATATTATTCTTTTTTTAATTTTCTTTAAAAACAGAAAGTAAAACTTGCCATTTATTAAAAATTTTACTTTAAATGTGTTTATTTTTAATAGATTAAAAAGCTAGTTCACTAACGACATTTTTTATTTTTTGCTGTTTGAAGTCTAAAGTTTCACACTCGTGTGGGTTGGAGAAGTTTCCATAATACTATTTTTTTAAATATAATATTATGGAAAAACCAAAGTAATTATTTACAGTCGGATGTCCGTGCTTGAGTTAATTTGTTTTGCAGATTAGGACTGAGTGTTTTTATTGTGATAGTACCAATAGACTACCACCCTAGGTATCCAAGCTTTACTAACTTTTACCCACAATTTAATCTGCAAAATCATATAAAAGTATAGATAAGTTGCTTTTAAATTTTAGATAAGTTGCTTTTACCACAGCTAAAAACAAGGACCAATAGTTTATATCAACTAATATAACTATAAGTTAATAGTTTTAATTATATATTTTAATAAAACGTATGAAATAAAAGTATAATTTTATACTTTTTTTATATAACCTAATTTAAAATTTCATGAAATAAAGTTATATTTTTTTTCTTTTCAATTGTCAAAATGGTTGTCAAAATGGTAATAAGAGTCAGCTTTTATTGAACTTTCAAATGAACAGTTTTAACTAATAAGTTTACAAAAATATTTAAATTTTGTTGGTTCTAATATAGCTCAATAATTCTTCAGAATAGAGAAATAGTAAAATCATTTTTAAATAATATTGGCTACATATCTTGATTTTATGAGAAGTTGAGTTTAAATATCATCAAATTTGTATTTTTCTGCTCTATCAACTTGTGGTATTTATTTTATATTTTAGCCAACATTTTTTTTGTTTAAAAAAAACCAACACTGCATATGTCAATATATGGTGACAACACCATGGTTTGGACATCACTGATCATGGTTGGTGGAAATGATGTTACATTTTTTAAAAATGGTGTTTTTAGCATAAAAACTGGGCCATTGATGTATACACTTGTGGGAATTTTTTCAAACCAAATCTAACTTGTGCAAGCATGGCGACAAGGGCGTTAAAGAATAAGAATGGTTTTGAAATGATAATTGGAAAAATATTTAATTTATGTGTAAAATTCTTCTTTTTTTTTCTTGTGTATTATACCAGAATCTTCTTGATGTTATTTCTGATTATATTGACCACTCTTCTTGATGTTATTTCTGATTATATTGACCAAGCCCTCATTCTTTATCCATCAGCCAATATTGTTGTTGTCTGTGACTCTAATGTTCATCACACTGAATAACTTGGCTCTAGTGTCAGTGACTCTGCAGGAATTAAAGCCCACAACTTTTGTCTTTCTCAATCTCTTACCCAAATAGTCAACTTTCCAACTCACTTTCCAGACAACCCAAATCATTTACCTTCTCTACTCAACTTATGTATTGTTTCTGATCCTAGTCAATGCTCATTTTTTTCACACTCACCCTTAGGTGCTTCTGATCATGGTTTGGTCTCTTTAAAACTATTATCTCATTCTTCTTTACCATCAGAATCCCCCTATCATCGTACATCTTACAGGTACCTTAAAGCTGACTGGGACTCTTTCCGTGATTTTCTTATGATTTGGCCTTCTTGATGGCCCCTGGGTAGAAATCTTTTGTCTTCTTCTTTTGACAAATGTGCTTCTTACATAACTTTGTGCATTTAGACTGGCATGGAATCCTTTATTCCCTCTCGACGATTCCAGGTCAAGCCTCACTCTTCTCCATGGTTTTCCTCACATTGTGCTGCTGCAATTGCCAATCGAAATCATTACCTCAATATCTATCAGCAAAACAATTCTCCAGAAAACAGACGTCTATTTGTTATTGCTAGGAACCATTGTAAAAAAGTTTTGTCTAACGCCAAAGCCCGCTATTCTCAGATCATGAAATCTCGTATTTCATCACAAAAATTAGGCTCTCGTGACTTCTGGAGAATCTTTAATAGTATTAATAATAAGGGCAAGTCTGTAATTCCACCTCTTTTGTATGGTTCAGACTTTGTCACCTCCAAGAACTTTTCATCAATATCATCTCTTGATGCCACTAGTTGCGTTCTACCTGATATAGCCGTCAAACAGGTTGATCCATTGCTCAACATTCGTATCACTCCAGTTTCTGTATCTAAAGTGATTTCCCGCATAGAATCTTCTACAGCTTGCGGACAACATACCTGTTATAGTCTTGCAGAAGTGTTCTCCGGAGCTGTGGTCTATCCTTTCAAAACTATTTAACAAGTGCTTATCAGAGTCTTGTTTTCCAGCCTGCTGGAAAGCAGCATCTGTTATCCTTATTTTTAAAAATTCTGGAGAGCGATTTGATTCGTCTAACTACCGTCCCATTAGTCTTCTTCCTATCATAAGCAAGGTTTTTGAATCTTTAATTAACAAACACTTAATCTCTCATCTCGAATCTCATAACCTACTTTCTGATCATCAATATGGATTTTGATCTTCTCGTTCTACGACTGATTTGCTATCAGTAATAACCGATAGGTTTTGTCACGCATTAGATAAAGGTGGAGAGGTTAAGGCCATCGCTCATAACATTTCTAAAGTGTTTGATAAAGTTTGGGATGCTGTTCTTCTCCATAAGCTTTCTTCTTACGGTGTATCTGGAAACATCTTTAAGATTATCGATTCCTTTCTTTCCAATCGTAGTATAAAAGTTGTCCTTGATGGACAGCCATCTTCTTCTTATTCTGTAACCTCAGGGGTTCTTCAAGGTTCAATCCTTGGCCCTATACTCTTTTTAATTTACCTTAATGATCTTCCAGATATTCTCACATCTAAGGTGGCATTGTTCGCTGATGATACTACCGTTTATTCTTGTCACAATAAGAAGCCAACTCCTCTGATTGCTTGCAGGGGGCATCTCAGCTTGAAAAGGATCTCACTTCTGCTACAGCATGGGGCTCACAGTGGCTAGTGAACTTTAATTCAGATAAAACTCAATTTTTTTGGCCAATCGTTACCGCAATAGTTTAGACCTTCCTATATTTATGAACGGTAATGTACTCGATGAGTCTCCTATCCTTCATCTTCTAGGATTAACTCTTACTTCTGATCTTTCTTGGAAACCTTATATCAAATCCGTTGCAAAATTAGCATCTGCTAAGGTTGCATCTCTTTATCGAGCTCGACACTTTCTTACTCCAGATTCTATTCTCTATCTCTATAAATTCATTTTGCTTTCCTGATTCATATAATTTGCAATCTTTTAAGTTGTCTGTCAATCGTTATCTTGCTCTACAACCTTCATCTTTTCTCTTCCAGTAACTTTCCAACACTAATTAGTGGTTGCTTGCAGCCTTGTTGGGAGCGAAGATGTTTAAAAAAAAAAAAAAAAGTCCACAATATTTATTAAAAAAACATTTGCCTTGATTAGTATGTTCCCAATAGTTCTGTATATACAATTTAAAATTCGAATAAAAAGTTAAGCCACTTTAGATATTTATTTCTTTAAGCTATATATTTATTTCTTTAAGTTATATATTTATGTTATTTGTGTCTTTTTGTATTTATGTTTTATTTTCTGTTTTTTATTTTATTTTCCTCACATCTCTCCCTAACCTTATTTTACTCATAATATTATAAATTTTAGATGTAATAGTTAATCTTCTTTTTAATCCAAAATAGAGTATTCTGCAATATATAAGAAGGAAGGGGAGAGGGTAATAGGAGAGTATTGTTCATTATTTCATTGAGCCCATTATTTTATTATTTTGTTTATTTAGAAAATAATTTGTTGTTTTGAATAATAATAATTATTATTATTTTGTAATTTAAAATCTCAATTTAAAATTAAACTGAGATTATGCAAGTGCTCTTTTTCACTACAAATTACTTAAAGTTGAACTGGTTAGACAATTTTAGTATAAAAAAGTGTGCACTCCAGCTTTTACAGAATTCACAAGGACAATCGAGGATGATAAAAAATAGACTAAAATAATAAATAATTTTATAGTTTCGTTGCCTGTACTTTTTTTCTTTCTTTTTTGTCAGAAAATTACAAGCAATCAGTACCTATAGTTAGACATATGATCTAAAATGCAAGCATATAAGGCTTGCAAAGAATATAAAAAGGAGAAACAGGTGTGTTGTACTAATGTTTTCATCAGGAATTAAAAAATCTGAAGTAAATCATTAGGATCATTAAAGACCTTGACAGATGAAGACCAATTGCACCAAAGATCCGAAGAGTTCCCCAGGAGAGAGTTTTAAAAAACAAGAAGTCATTTAAAATGATTTAATTTACATGCAATTGCTATTTTAAATATTCCATTAGTTAGAGTCAGTATTGTAAACTCAAACTTTGATTTCATAATTTTATGGTATAAAATATGGTTTTTCATGAGAGGCAGCTTTAATGAGACAATAACAAATCTTTCTGCAGCTGTAATAAAACACTGTGATGGCTGCACATATTGAACTAAAATTGTGTCAATTGGTTGCTACATCTTGTTCAAAGAATGAACCACACAAAAATATTTAACACAAACTTTATGCTATTTATGGTGGCTTTGACATTTAGTAGCAGCATATAAAACATCCAATTTTACAGGTAGAAACATATATATTACCCTGTTAGTAAAATGAATTTCATTTTCTGAAAAATATATCAAAGTGTAACTAAACAAGACTTTTTTATTTCAGTTTCCATATTTTTGAATTTATATGTATACATATTACTCTTTATTATTTTGTGCATAAAGTATAAAAAATACTTATAGATAATTATTGCTACGATGCTTAGTGCAAGGTGCAACAATATTCAAAATGAAACAGCATAATTAAGTTCAAATGCAATGTTACAAGACTCACAATTTAAAATAATTAACTAGTTATTTCTATATATATTACTGTAAATTGTTTTCTATTTAAAATACAATAAATACTTATTTTAATACAATGCACTTCTTTTTATTTTGATACTAACTTCAAAAAAATTAAATGAATTGTAAATTTTTAAGAGACATTATTGGGCGATTTCATGTGAAAGCATTCTGGGCATGCAACCTTAAGTCTTAGATTTTGTTTTTAATTTTAATAATATTAGACAAAGGCTTTTTTTAAATTAACTAAATTATTCAGGATAACTCATGAATAAAAAATTTGAGCTATACATCTGCATTTTTTACTATACATCCGCATTTTTAGCTAAACTTGCCCCCGGTGAGATTTTAATAAATTTTTTGAAATTTATTAAAATTTCACAGAGGGTGAATTTTTCACTGGGGGCAAAATACATTTAAGCACCTAAGAGTACCATCTTTTTTTTCTGTTTAAGAAACCATGCTTTTTTTTAACCATGTTTTTTTTTTCTTTTCAAGAAAAGACAACTCTCCAGTACTTTGTAACAACTCTAACTAAACTATTCAGGACAACAACAACAAAATTTTTGTTAAAACTAAACTTACCCCAGTAAAATTGCTCAATGGTTCAATTTTTAGGTGTTATGTTTATTTTTAAATGTTTTAGGTTTTGTTAAATTCCTAGCCTCAAAATATATAAGTGTACATATTTTCAACTTTCTATTTCACTCAGAATAGAAACAAAGGCAAAAATCTAAGACTTAAGCTTGCCATTTATGAAAAAAAATTGTATTTTTTCACATTGAATTGCTCTATAAGAAACATAATTTAAAATAATTTTACTTCATTCTGCAAATTATTGATACTTTTTTTACTAACTTTTATATATTCATATTTTTGATGTTGTGCTTCTTTTGTTAGGGATCAAAACAACAACAAAAATATATTTTAGAAATTTATCTAAGAGCATTTATGATTAAAAATATTTATTTTTAATGAATTACATTTATAATGTTATTTTGGAGAACATTTATAATGCTGTTTTGGAGAATAATGCTAATTTCAATTTTTAGTTGTTATATATAAACAATAATATAAAATTTTTAGTTGTTATATTATTTCAGTTATTTTTAAAGATATTCAAAAGTAATATTTAAATATATTTTTTAAATGATTGAAATACAAAGTTTTTAAAAATTCACCAGGAATTTGGTTATCATTTTGGTTAGTAAAACAAGTAACTGGTTAACTCATAAGAAAAACGCTAGTTTTTCATGTATTACAAAGATGATACAATATTCTGATTTTTTTCCTCTTACCAACAGTGATTACAATGAAATAAGCAAGAAAGCAAAAATGTTATGTTACATGTTAATTGGTTAGTATTTGTGTTCTGCTAAAATGGTTTTCTTGATTATTGGATTATTTTATCTATTTTGAAATTTATGTATGTATGTATGTATGTATGTATGTATGTATGTATGTATGTATGTATGTATGTATGTATGTATGTATGTATGTATGTATGTATGTATGTATGTATGTGTGTATATATGTATTTATGTATGTATATTTTTACCAAAAGAAAAACTGAGATCAAAAGTGATATGATAATGCCAGAATTTTTTAAAAAGCTTTGTTGACAGTCCAAATTTACATACAAAAAGAGAATAGATTTGATTTATGGTTGCTCAAAAAGAATTTTTTAGAGACCATATAAAATTTAGAGCCAAAAATTTTTGAGTTAAAATAAATTGTTTGAAATACTTGTTTACATTCCTCTAAAAACAGGTATAAAAAGTAAAACTAACTAAAATGAGATTAAAACTAACTGGTCCAAGGTAAAAAATGAATATTTTTGTGTCAGTTAATTATGATAAAATATTTTTTGTCATTAAATTATGCTGTTGTTTATAAGAACTTTTGTGTGTTGAAAATACTTTTTTTTAGTTTAAATCAGTTTGTGCTCAATGAAATAATGAAATTGTTACTGTTAATTGTTACATTAAAAATATTTACAGTTTATTATCATTATTTAAAAAAAACGAAAAAACATTATTAACATGTAAATTTACAATAATGTTAAATAAACATTATTCATTGTATTGTGTTTAGAAAATTAACTTTCTTAAAATAATAATAGGTTTTAAATGTACTTATTATTTATTTTTTAAATATTTTAAAAATTCATGGTTTTATTTTATAACTTTTATGTAATGTCTCCAAAACAATAATAAATTATATTCAATGTTGAATTTAATTATTCATCATTTTAAATTCGACAATCATTAATTATGAGACATTCATCTGACTGAGTTTTGAAACAATCATGGCTGTGAAACATGACTTTTCAAAGGTATTTTATTAAATAAATCAATAAATTACTTTATTAGTATTTTATTAGTAAATCAATAAATTATGAAATTTAGTATAAATAAATCATATATTTGTTATGAATAAATTAAAAACTTAGTAAAATTAAAGATATACCATAAATTTAAACTAGATAAAGCGTTTATAAGTAAAAAATTGATCTAAATTTATAATTATTAAAAATGCTTTTTGTAATATTTTGCATCAAAAATGTTGAAGCATTTGCTGATTGTTTTAGGACTTTTAGCACAGTTCTCACTTTTTTGTTGTAAGATTTTGCTGTTGTTATCGCTATGCTGCTTTTCAAAGTGGCTAGGTTAACTTAAATTTTTAGTTTTTATTCTTTTAGTAATGAAACCAAATAGTTCTTGAGATTTGCTTATTTATTGATATTTGCTTAGTTATATCATAACTACTAAGGTGATAATCTCTATGTATGTATGATCTCTAATATGTTGTTCAAAAATGTGTTACATTTAAAAATATTTTAGATTTTTAAATGTAACACATTTTTAATGTTTAGACTTTGATCAAAGGAAGTTTATTATTAAAGTTAAACAATTTTTTTAAAATAACAATTTATAAATTATGTTCTTATTCTATTCTTTAATTTACAAAACATTTTTTTTTAGTGCTAACTTAAAGTTAAAGTACTTACTCAATTAAAAAATAGATAAAAATAAAAAAATTAGTAGTAAAGATCTAAATATAAAAATCATTTTAAAAAGCCGAATTTATGTTTTATATTGATGTTGTATGATAACATTCGAATAAAATAGATGAGTTTAGTTTTTTTGCATGGTGTTTAGTAAGTCTTATCATTAGTGCTATGTATATATCAGGCATTGTTTTAAAGCCTAAAAGGCATGCCATTTATGTTTGCCATTCAATTTAAGCAGCCATTTTAGTAAAGCTACTTTTTATCCTTTTCTAATATTTATTATTAATAAAATAAAAACTCATAAGAAAATACTTGTAAGTTGAGTTTATTGATTGGTGTAAAAGCCTTGTACAACAAAAATATGTTGAATATATGTAATTAGTTATATTTGAGACTTTTTGTTCATACTTAAATAGCTTTCTGCAGAAGCTTTAGTACATATATCAACTAAGGGTTTGGATTTAAACTTTATATGATCTTTATATTTTTTAGTTATAAATTATATAATTTAATTGTTCATTATTTAATTTAATTATTTTTTAATTAAAATTTACTTTTTAGATTATCAATTGGGTTGAATTAGAAGAAAATGGAACATTTTACAACACAACTTTGAAAAAAGTAAGATATCGAACACTGGTTTCATTTGATCCGAATGATCAAAACACAGCATTTAAACAATGGGAGATGGTTAAAGTTAAGCAGCTAAAAGCTGGAAAGATTGAAAGTTTAATCGAGCATATGACTTTACCTTTTGAGGATGAAGATCCAGATCCAGGCTTTATTTTAGCATTTCTTTGTACTTACAAAAGTTTTACATCAACAACAGAAGTTATTGATCTACTTTTAAACAAGTTTGTATTAATTTTTGAAATTTGACCACTTCTTCTGTAAACATCTTTTTTAAGCTGTTTTCTTTCTAGTTTTTTACTGTATGCAACATGATGTAAAAAATTTTACACCAAATATAATTGTATCTTGTATATTGTAAATGTTTTAGATTTGAGATTCAAATTGATAATATTCAAAATGAGAAAGAAAAAAGTGAACAAGTTATAAGGTATGAATTTCAACTTCAAATATATATATAAATATATATATATATATATCAGGGGCTATTCTAGACCGTTTTAGTCAGCGTCGACCGTATTTGGGTGCCAATTTGGGCGCCAATAAGTAGTTTATAACATTTGGTAAAGTTAGCCTAAAAACCTGAAAATTATTTGCAGTAAATCTTTAAAACTAAAATATTAAAATCACTTCACTAACTAAACTATTGAAAATATTACTTCAACACTTGGAGCAGGGGCGGATCGAGCATTTTTTGGTAGTTGAGATAACTTCTGGACATGGAGCAAACTCCAAACATTTATTTTTGTATGTCAAATAAGGATGCTTTGCAAAAAATTGCAATGATTGGAGCCTGGGAACAAAAAAGCCCTAAAATTTTAGCTACACCTACCCCAAACGTAAGAGCAACAAGTTGATAAAATATTTTTTCTACTATTTTTAACCAAGTATATATTCATCGATAAATTTTAAAACTCACATAATAATCTATCAGTGTTCAACAGTTATGGCCTTATAAAACTTGCGACCCCCTCAAATTGAGGGGGTGAAAACTTTTTATTGTCATAGTTTTTGAAGGCTAAAAGATTTTTGTGTGAATTTTAAAATTTGTCGATGAATATAGATTTAGTTAAGAATATAGATTTAGTTAAGAATATAGATTTGTTTTTCTTAATAAATTAATTTGTTTTTGGTAATTTATTTTATTGTGGGAGTTTAAAAAGTTATATATATATATACATATATATATATATATATATATATATATATATATATATATATATATATATATATATATATATATATATATATATATATATATATATATATATTATATGTAGATATATATATATATATATATATTATATGTGTATATATATATATATATATATATATATATATATATATATATATATATATATATATATATATATATATATATATATTATATGTATATATATATATTTTATACAACCCTCAGAATTAGGTTCGGCATTCGGCAATGCTGACCTTACAGCTGTCCTGAAAGTGTTTGAGGTCGGCAAAAAATTACCGACCTCGTTTCTATGTTTTACCTTTGTATCAAATAGTTTTTGCCGACCTCTAAAAGATTGAGGCCAGCAAATTATTGCCAAACTCATTTTTCCTAATTCCGAGGGTTGTTTATATATATATATATATATATATATATATATATATATATATATATATATATATATATATATATATATATATATATATATATATATATATATATATATATAGTAGTAGTATATATTTGTTACAAATGTAGATTGTCAAATCATAGATAACATTTGTGAAGCTCATAATGCAACTTCCATCAAAGGGAATTGTGAGCTGTTGTAACTTTGAAGCCTATCAAGTCTTGCTTTAAAGCTGTTGACAGATGAAGAGTAGACTACATTATCTGGCAAGCTGTTCCATGTGTTGGCAATTCGGTTATTAAAAAAATTAAATAACGAGTTAAATTGTTGTTATATTTTTCCCGGTAAAATCTCTCTCTGTGATTTGCTCTCGGCGGAATTGTAATAGGAGGAAAATGCCAGTTAATTATGTCAATGTTTTTCTCAATTTTAAATTTCTGAATGAGGTCACCTTGTTTACGGCGGTCAATTAGAGATGTGAGGCCAAGTTTTTCACATCTAGACTGATAGTTTAAATTTTTTAATTTGTACGGTATCTTTGTGGCTCTGTGTTGTATGGGATAACAAATTCAAGTAGAGGACAGACATAGGTGGAGTATAGTTGTTTCCACAGAGAAGCATCACGACATTGGAAGGTATGTTTTAAAATACCAAGCATTTGGTTTGCTTTACATGATGCGATGATGGATTGGCTTTCCACTTTAAGATCATTAGTAATTTGGATTCCCAAGTCACGTTCAGAGGTGGTTTTTTCCAAATTTGTTCGGGTCACTATCGAATTAGAGCCAGTTTCTTCCATTAGGTACTCGAAGGGAATTGAATTTTTTTGACTAAAGTGCATGACTTTGCATTTTTTTATGTTTAACTCCATGAGCCAAGACTTGCTCCAATTTCATCAATGTCTGATTGCAGTTGAAGCTGAGCTGCAAGTGTATTGACAACGCTGAGGATTTTAGTATCATCAGCATAGATTTTACAAATGTTTTTTTTGCTTATGACATCTGCTAGGTCATTGATGTAAATGACAAATAAAACTGGACCCAAGACTGAACCTTGCAGAACATCACTAGTCACTGGTAACCAATTTGACTGAGTGTTACCAAGGATAACTCGTTGAGATCTGTTGGTTAGAAAAGCTTTAATCCAATTAAGAAGATTTCCTTTGATTTCATACATTTTTAGTTTATAGAGCAACCGTTGATGTGGTACTTTGTCAAATGCTTTGGCAAAATCCAGGAATACGACATCAACTGGTAGTTTTCTGGCCATGTTCGCGGTCAAAAAGTCCATTGTTTCAAGCAGATTTGTGACGCATGCCTTTTTCTCTACAAAGCCATGTTGACAATTTGAAAGAAGGCTGTTCAATTTTAGATGCATCATGATCGCTTTTTTGACAAGTTTCTCCATTATTTTACATGGGGTTGAAGTAAGGGAGACTGGTCTGTAGTTTGCTGGATCAATTCGAGAGCCTTTCTTGAACAAAGGCGTTACATTTGCTTTAGACCACGAGCTTGGAATTTCACCATTGTCAAATGACTTTTGAAAGATAAGGGTAAGTGGAGTAGTCATGGAAGTAGAACACGAGCGTAGGACATAAGGACTGACGCTGTCTACACCAAGCGATTTGGATGGATCAAGAGATGAGAGCTCCAGGAGAGTAGCCTGAGAGTCAAATGTTATGCTGTTGATGATTGAGTTGGTTCGACGACTAAAGAAAGGAAGATTGTCATCAGACAGCTCTTTGCTGAAAACTGATTGAAATTGATTGTTAAGTGAGTTGGCTATTGTAACTTTGTCAGAGCTAATAATCTCACTGAAACTGGTAACCCGCATTGATGAGATCTGATTTATTACAGAGTGCTTACTATTTATGTATGAAAAAAGTCTTTTTGGGTTGCGCTTATCATTGGCCAGAGCAAGTTCGAAGGATTTCAGAGAAGAATGACTTAATTTTTTGACAAACTTTCTTGTTTGTTTATATTCATGGACCAGGGATACAATTTTCCATTTTGAGCTGACATTGCGGGCCCATAGTGACTTTTTAAGACGAATCAGAGATAAAAGTTCTTTTGTCATCCATGGTTGTTTTTTGCGATATGGTTTGTTTGGCATACATGGGATAAATCGAAAACAGCATTCATTGTATTTGTTGAGCCAAAACTGGTAACATTGTTCCACGTTTAAGTTTTTAAAGACAGATGACCAGTCAATTTTGTTGAATTCTTCATTGATTTTTTTGTAGTTGCCAAGCTTGTAAATGAATTTAGAGCTGTTGAAATGTGACGATTTGTCACTAGAAGCCAGTTTGTATTGCCAAGTGATGGAGCAATGATACTGTTCAGACAAGCCGAGTGGAGGACCGGTGTTGATTTCATTTGCACGATCAGAAGAGTCGCAAATAATGAGATCGAGAGTTTTTGTCATTGGACGATGAGCAGGTTTGAAAGTTGGGACAGTGATGATTTGATGTAGATAAAAATCTTGAACAAGAGAAATAAACAATGAACTAAGACCATATTCGGTAGAGGAGATAACAGAATTGGAAGTCCAAGTAATCTCTGGGAAATTTAAGTCACCAGCAATAATGATGCCATTGTATTTTTTGGTTAATATTGCTGTTTTGGCATGAAAGATAGCATTGGAGATTTCAGAGAAGGTTTTGGTACCAGAAAATGGAGGCCTGTAAATACAGCCTAAAAGCAGAGTTTCGTTTGGAAGCTTTAGTTTAATCCACAGTTGTTCTGAATAGTAGCAAATGAAATCTTTGTATAGTTGGGAATCTTCAAGTTGGTTTGAGACGAGCTTGTTGTTTATGTAGATGGCTACACCTCCTCCATTTCGGTTGAGATGGTCTGATCGATAGAGGTTATAGTTTAAAAGAGTGGGAGTTGATTTTTCAGTAAACCATGTTTCAGTGATAAAAATAATATCGAAGAAATTGGTTTCTGCAAGTAAGGAGAGTTCAATCAGTTTTGATGGATTAAGAGAGATGGCATTAGTGTAGAAGCAGAAGAGATAAGGTAAATGAGTTGAAGAGTTTGCAGCATTGAGGGAGATTGAACTAGGATAATGCTGAGAGCGACTGAATGGCCTCAGCCGCTGATTTCCATTTAAGGAATGAGTTCCTCTCTCTTTCATTGATGTTGACTGTTCGATATGTATCAATGCATTTGATTTTTTCGCTGCGGATGACAAATCGAAAGGGCTTGTCAAGTAAGTCTTTTGCCAATAGTTCTGCGTTTTCAGTAGCTCGCTTCTTGTTTAGGCTGTTGAAGGTTTCTTGTTCAAGAGGTGTACGGTCTGGGCGGATATAGACAAATTTTAATTCATCTACTGAGGCAAGTCGCTTAGCATTAAATAAAAGATCGTTGCGGTGCTCATTTGTATCCAATTCAATAAGAATTAATTCTTTTTGGTTGGCATCGTTTGTACTTAAACTGGTTGGTATTGGACTTGTAGTATTGATCTTTTTTGTTAAAGAAGTTTTTGCTGGAAAATGTCCGACAACTTTAAAAGCAACATTATAGTTAATTTTTTGGAGCACATTCTGAACTGAAACTAGTCTTTGATTATTGTCAGGGGCTTTTGGAAGGCCTGCAATAATGGCTTGTTTAGACTTGGTTTCTACAAATTTGGCATTTTCGTTGACCCCTTGGATGATGGCTTTGTTAGCTTCTGAGCCACGTTTGACTGCAGTTGCCCAGTTAAGAGTTGTGGTCAAATTAGGAGAATTTGACTTGAGAAGTTGAACAAGATTTGCTTTCAGAGTACTATTTTCGTATTCAAGAGCAGATACACGGGCAAAAAGGTTATTGACTGTGGCTAT